GGCCCCGGGTCCCGCGGCCCGGAGCAGCCGAGGCAGCTGCGGGGCGGGCTCCGCGGCACGGAGGGCCGCGAGGATCCCCTCCGGGTTTGGACCGTCCGGCGGGGAGGGAGGGCCCGACCCCTGGCCAATGAGCGCGGCCCGGGCCGCCGCGTCGGGCACCACCTCTGGCCGCGCCGGCCCGGGACCCGCAGGTGTAGGCCCGGCCGGGGCCGTCACTGGGGTTCGCCCAGGACGCGCGCCCGTGCCCACACCTGACCCAGATCCCGCAGATGCACAGACCCCTTCCACATCCAGAGGTGCCCGCGAAGGCTAGGGCTGCTTCGGCTCAGGGCGGGCGGCCGCCCGGAGCAGGGAGGCGCGCCGCGAGGGCTGGCGCGGGGGTTCTGTGGCAGGAAGTGAGCCGAGGGCGCGCGGTAGGAATACGGAGGTGGATGACCATAGAGGAAGTGGGACTGAAGACAGCCTCGGCTTCTGTACTAACTCGAGCTGTGCACCCAGCTAGCTGCTCCCAGTTTCTCAGGCTCTAGAGTTTTGGTTTTGCCAACGAAGCAGTATTGTACCATCTAAGGTCTTTTCTTGCCAAGGTGGCAATCTACAAACAAAATTTGTTCCTGAAGTGCTTTAGCATTTTGGAGTTCTTCGGGAAGTAAGGAGGCACACTTTCTCCTGCCCACACTTGAGCATTTCTGTGCAGGCCTTTGCGCTTGCCTTTGAATGACGATTCAATTCCAGAGAACTGTCAGAGCCCCTCGCTATATGGGATGGTGTTTGTTGGCAAAAATGACCTACAACTTAGTAGCTGCTGTTAAATGGGGGAAATGCAGCCTTGTTTTAAATAGCTTACTTTATTTTTTTAAGGAACATTTCTGCAAACTTTGCACTTACTTTGCAAGAAATAAGGAACCAACATAAGTAATAAAATTAAAATGTGAATATACCTGGTTTGACCGTTTACTTTTACATGATATGAACTAAACATTTTCAGTTATACCTGGTTCACTTTCAGTCCTCAAGCATAAGCCAGGTGTTTATACTTTTGAGGTTATTTGTTTTTGCTGTTGTTATGATTTTTTTAATGTGCATGTCAGCCTTAAGGAGTAGCTGAGGTTTCACTTCCAGGTTTGTTTTTTCATAATCGGTACATAAGAATGCTGAAATTTTGTGCTTATTTTCAATAGTGACATGTTCAAGTAGTTCCTATAAAATGCAGTACAGGGTAGTGATTTAAATCGTGCATGTCTGAACCAGGTGGCCTGCTTTCAAATCCCAGATCCCCCTCTTACAAGCTGTTTGACCTTTGGCATTTTGTTTAACTTCTCTGTGCCTTAGTTTTCCCACCTATGAAATGACTATAGTAGTATCTGACTCTTCATAAGATTGTTGTGAGTATTAAATGAATTTAGTACTATAAAGTGCTTTAAATGGTTCCTGATCCATGGTAAGTACTATGTAAGTATTAGTTGGCTTTATTACCATTATTGTTAAAATTAGGTTTGCCCACACTATAACAAATATCCTTTGAGCACTGCAGACAGGGAGACAGATGTTCACTAAATCATACATAAGAAGAAATACAAACCAGTAGGTATACCTAATTTCAACAGTGCTTTGTTGATTTTTCCAGAAACCTCGACCTTGAAGATGGTGAGTAGCCAGCCAAAGTACGATCTAATACGGGAGGTAGGCCGAGGTAGTTACGGTGTTGTGTATGAAGCGGTCATCAGAAAGACCTCTGCACGGGTGGCAGTGAAGAAAATTCGATGCCACGCACCTGAAAATGTTGAACTAGCTCTTCGTGAGTTCTGGGCACTAAGCAGTATCAAGAGCCAACATCCAAATGTGATTCACTTGGAGGAATGCATCCTACAAAAAGATGGGATGGTGCAAAAGATGTCCCACGGCTCTAATTCTTCCCTTTATTTACAGGTATGTGTCGTTGAATGGAAAACAGAAATAACTGAACATAGCATTAGTCAGCACGAAGAGGAGCGAAAGAGTCAGATGAATGTCTCCCTTTAAATGCAGGTGTTTCAAAGTTAGGAGAAGATAAAGCCCCACTAAGAATTGAGTAGATGTTTGCCTTAAAACAAGGTTTTATTTAAACCTGTGATGCACATACCTAAAAATAACATAAGCCACGTGTTATGCCATGGTCCTTGCCAGTCTGCATAGGAATGGGGCAAGATATGAGCTAGAGATGTGCTTGACACTAGAGTCTAATAACTTCCCTTCTTTGAAATCAGTTTTTTTAGAACTAAAGACAGAAAAGAATGAAAAAGCACAACCAACAGCAGCACTCATAGGTAATTGGACATCTCTTTTATAAATCACTGATTCAAACATAAGCCTCTACTATTTTAGAGGGTTTATGTGGTTTCTTAACTATATGGTCCCAGTTAATTTTCATGGTGTGGCTTAGCACTGAATGTTATTAAGTGCTGACAGCTAACATTTTGGTCCCTACTTGGTTCTATATGCTGTTTTGAGTGCTTTAAAGGTAGTTTCTCAAAACAATCCTATGAGGAAAGTGCTATTATTTTTATTACAGATAAAGAAACTAAGGTTTAGCATAGATCATGAATTTATCCAAAGTCTCATCGCTAGGAAGTGGCAGAATTGAGAGCCAAACCTAATATTATCTGATAGTTTATGTTCTCTTAACTCCCAGATTACTCTTTGGTAAACCTGGGGAAAGCATTATCATAGGAAAATAAAAGAACTTTCCTTTTTAATAGACTTTCATCATAGATCAGAATCTCTGGTAACTCTATTCTCACTGAATAGAAAAGATACTGTCCTTAAGGTATAGCTAGTTGGGCCAGCAACTAGGTGGCGTAGCAGTTAAGGTGCTGGACTCCCACATTTTGACTATGATTTGAATCCTGGACCTGTGGCTTAAAACTTACACTGGGAACATATGTGTGCTTGCACAAAATCTTGAGAAGAGGTGGAAGAGAAGGGATTGCAGTGTAGCCTTCCCCCTGGGAGTGATTTCTCACTTTCTCTCTCTCTCTGTCTCTCCAGCAAGCCCATGTGCCCTATAGCAAAATCTCTCCTTAAAAAAAAAAAAAAAGATATAGCTAGTTAAAGGCCAGAGCAAAGTTCCTTTTAAAGAGATTTTTGCCATAGGGTGTGTACACTTGCCAGAAAGACAGAGGCAACAAGAAATCCCCAAGTGGGGGAAGGGTGACCACGCTGCAATCCCTTCTCTACCATTCTCTTCTTGGAATTTTGGGCACATATGCACATGTGCCCAGCATGAGTTTCAAGCCACAGAGTCTGAGACTTGACCTGTGGTCAACCCCTTGGGAGTCCAGCCTTAACCACCACACTACCTGCTGGCCCCCAAGAGCAAAATTTATTTTTCTTAGAATTATTTTATTATTCTATATTATCACTTAATAATAATATTAAATAACAGTGTATTATTTATTTTATTATTTTTTATTAGTATTATTTTTTAATTTGGTATAGTCATCAGAGAGAGAGAGACAGAGAAAGAGAGGGAAAGTAAGAAAGCAAGCTACCAGATCCAATACTCAAACTGCGATCAGCCCTATGGGAGTCCAAAAGACAGAGAGAGAGACAGAGAGAAAGAAAGCCAGAAGTCACCCCCCCCCCCCAGGGGCGATGGCCATGCCGCAATCCCTTCCCCCCCATTCTCCTCTCGGGATCTTGGGCACACATGCACACACGCCCAGCGTGAGTTTTAAGCCACCGGTTCCGGGACACG